AAACCGGTCTGAAAAGGCCTGAATCGATCTTAAATATGCCTGAAAAGAGCTGAACATGCTGAAACTCACTGGAACAAGTCAGAATTGGTCTAAAAAGAGCTAAACTGACTGAAACAACACGTGAATCGGTCTGAACCTCTAATAGGGCTGAGCCCAAACCTGACTGGGCTTAATAACAATGGACTGAAACTCCTTGGGCTTGGCCTGGACTAGACTCAAAGCAATAGACCCGAAACTCTTTCGGGTCTAGATTGGACTTGTAACAAATATGCGCTTGAACTTGGATTGGTCTTTGAAAATTATTTAAGCCCGTAACATTAGAAGATCTGATCCAACCCAGTAGCTTGGATTGGAACTTGGAATCCCCTTCTCCACTAGGCCTGTCAAAATTCGACACCATACGATTAATCGATACAAATTAAACGGGTTTGGGTGAAACCTTAACGGGTTTAGGTGATAAACGGGTTGACCCATTAAACACTTTTAATAAACGGGTCATGTCTGGGTGAGACCTCTCAACCCGTTTATCACCAGTTTACCCGTTTAAATAAATTTAATATAATAATAAATTAATAATTATTTTATATACATATAAAATAATGAATGAGTAAAGAAAAAATAGTAAAAAAAACATTTAAAAAAAAAAGTAAAAAAATCAATTTAAAAAAAATAGGAAACAAAAGTTTTGAGCCTTTGAAGCATTGAATTGTCTTTTCTTTGAATCTCACATCACCATAAATAGCATAGGGACGAAGCTTTGTTGTCTATAAAAGAGGACGTGGGCCTCTTGCTTTTAGCTGACCCTGTGGCTTATGACTCTTGGTTGTTAGTTGTGGCCGTTTGGTGTTGGCTTTGGTTGGAACTCCTCTAATTGAGGAAAGTACACTTAAAAGCAAAAAAAAATGGAGTGTAAAAATTTGTTAAAATAATAAATTTTTTTTTTGTTATTTTTAAATGGGTTAAACGAGTCGTGTTGTATTACCCGTTTATTAAACGGTTTGTGTTTGTGTTGAAAATTTTTACCCATTTATTAAACGTGTCGTGTATGAGTTTATATATTTTTCACCCGTCACCCGTTTAACCCGACACGTAACTGTTTAATCCAACACAATTGACACCCCTATTCTCCACAATAAGGGTGTGTTTGGCAATTTATGGATGGACTAGACTAGATTGAATTTAAATCTCAAACCAGTCCATTGAAATCCCAATGAGCCGGATTTGTAAAAGGATAAAAGTAATTTGCGTTATCCAATACCCGCTTTGGATAATAATGTATGATGTTATTGAAAAATGGACAAACTATAATTTTTATTGCACATCTAATAACTTTGACATTAATCGACCATTTTACCCTTAAATCCTATTTTTTTTTTGACTTGAAAATTGTTGGTTACTACTTTAATATTGTGAAAAATATAAGAATGCTTATACATTGTAAAATTCTAACTATTACACGATGATTTTAGAATACAAGTTTATTGTAAAATTCCAACGCGTCTAGTGCTTGATCCTTGTTTACAAATCCTGTTATTATCGAATTCCATGAGGAATTTGGGGTTTGGCATATTCAACAAAATTTCAACGGCATCTTCTATGTTGCCAAACTGTGCAATGCCATTCATCAGCTCATTGTATGAGATTGTATCCTGGTCTAACATTTGATGAAAAAATTTGAATGCTTCAAGTCTTCTAGCAGTTGATCATCGAGTTCCATTAACATATCAATCATTCACACGAATGCCTCCACTACAGATCCGCATTTTCCATACATGTCAATCAAGCAATTTGAAACAACTTTACTAACCTCCATACCAAATTTAACAATCTGGGAGTGAATTGACTTTCCTAATTGCAATAAACTTAGTTGGCCACAGGCAGCCAAAACAGCCGTGAATGAGAACGAATCCGCACGAACCTGAACTTTCCAGCTGAAGGAACAACATTAAAACCTTATTGAAATTCCCAGAATGCACGTACCCAGAAATCAAAGAATTCCAAGAAACTACAATTGGGTTAGGAATTTCAACAAACAATTTGTGAGCATCATTCACTGACTCAAATTTCATAAAGAAATTGATCTGAGCGGTGGTGACAAAGGCATTTGAAACAAACCTAGATTGGAGAATGTGGCAATGAAGCTTTTTTTTTTTTTTTCTACATATAGAAATATATATGTATGTATATATCTACATTGAAATGTAGAGATATAGAGAGAGATAGACCAATGAGCGCCGTTTGCTGTGGGAGGGGACCAGCATGGAGAAGTGAAGACAAAACGGGGTAAAAAACCGTTTTGGAGGGCATTTATGTAAATTCTCCTTATTTCTTATTGCTGAGATTACTGATCCTAAAGTTCAGGTGGAATAATTGAATCTAGGTCAAAAGGGATAAAAGCCGATTTCCTATAGACGGGGTAAATCACGCTCAACGAGTATCCCACGAGCAAATATGGATCTACACTAGGGATATGTGGCCCCTAAATTATTTTACCAAATTTTACTTATTTTATCTCACTTTATGCAGCAAAACAAACACCCCCAAGTGTTTCAATGAAACCTTAGCCCCAATAGCGCCTCACTCCAGCGTTACTATGACAGCGCTAGCAGCAACAACCAACCTCTAACAACAACACCAGGAACCCTACTAACCTCCAGCAACCCCAACTCGACAACAAAATCTATCGCAGAACACAAAATACCATAGTTTTTAAAATCAGTCCGGACATCAACCCAAGTATCGGATCAATGGGACACTGGTTCAACCGATTATATAATAAAAAATAATAATAATTATTAGTGATAATAAATATGCTAAATATAAAATTATTTTAAAAATAACATTTTTACACAAACCCACAAGAAGAAGCTAAGGAAGATGGGAATGATCGATCACCCATAAGCCACTGGCCACAACTCCAGATGATCAACCCCACAAATTTGACAAGAAAAAGAGCTACCTTGTTCAAGCAGTGGAACATCTCAAATGGATGAGAACAAAGAAACTAAATTGAAGACATCAATACAGTCGAGTCGACCATTACTGAGGACGAAGAAGATAATTATTAAAAACTCATGCGACAAACTAAATGCTCAACTCAATCATCAATCACAAAAATGAAAAAAAAAAAACAATGGAATAAAAAATTAGAGCTTCAGTAGAAATGGCCAGAGATGGTGGAATTTTGAGTGATGTACCCATCAAGTGAAGGAAATGCAAAACCTAGAAGCAAAATCTTTTGCCATTCTTCGATCAAGCCAGCGACATGAGAGAGAATGAACAATAGGAGGCAGCCATGAACAGAGTAGATGATGGTGCTAACTGTTGAGATAAAGTCTGAGATTGGAGAGAGAGAGAGAGAGGCTGAGACAGCTAATCGTCGTCGAGAAGAGCAGAGGCGCTGAGGAGTTTGGAGGCAGAGATCAATCAATTTTGGGGAAAAATGCCTTAAAGCCTGCATTTTATGGAATTCCTATTGACCTGTTCGATTTGTTCAAAACCGTCCGGTTCAGTGGATTTGTTGCAAAACTGGCCGGTTCACCGGTTTTTTCCAGGTTCACTTGCTTGAACGATCTACTAATTAAATCGGTCCGATTCAGATTCGATTCAGGATCCGGTTCATCAAGTCAACCGTCGGACGGACCGAGTTTTAAAACACACCATAACACAGGGACGACATACGTTCCCGCAGGAACCACAGCACGTACTCGATCATAATTGAACTCCACAACACACCCACAAGGTTTTTGACATTAAGCCATCACCTACGACCGTAGTCCATGGTCATGGTGGGCTACACACCTGTGTTGTACCAACTGGAATCAGAATCAAATAAAAAACAAAGGAGAACAAAAAAGAGAAAAAGAAAAGGAAGAAGAGATAAACAAACGAAAATAAATTTTTTTTTCAAATTTTCAATATCAAAAGTAATTCTGAAATCATAATTTTTGGATCAATTATACTCTTATACCATGTTAAATTTAGATTGTTAATTCAACACAATATTAGAGAGACGGAGAGTGATCGAACTTAACTTACCCCTCACTAACAACTTATGTTTATAATCATTTCATAAACATATAAAAGACGAGTATACCCTCCAAGTGGTATACCTATTACAACCACATTAAACAGTAATACTCTCAATAATACCAAAGTTTGTTATCACTTGGTGTTGTATATACACCGGTGGTACAAAAAATCAAAGTAGAAGACATAATGAAAATAAGAAAGTTAGAAAAAAGTCGGTAGGCAAGAAACGTCGGCCGTTATTTTCGAGATAGTAATTTTTTCAGTATGATGCAGATGAACTCATGAAAATTCTATCACCAGAATACAATGCCTAATATTTAAGACTATCTAAAACTGCATTTCTTATTAGCCTTAAAACCATAACTCAAGCCGAATGAAATTCTAAAAATAAATCTCAAGAAAATATGATAATAAAATTAGAAATTAACAACTGACTTAATTCCTATGGCCGGATAGATAGGAACCCTATATTTATAGTGCTCCACACACCTCTTTAAAAGAGTTGTGATTCTTCATTTACATATCAATAGACAGCTTTATTTAGAAGGTTTTAACCCTTGTATTCAAGAATCATCTTAATTACCAATATATAAATAATTGTATAATTTATCATTATTAGTAAATATTAGTATATATCCACATATATACAACACTTGGCCATTCTTTTTGTTCATATTTACTTACAAAATGAAAAACAAATTTTCACGTATTTTCTCTCCTAAAAATTTAATAGTAAAGAGTGCAACCTTTTCAATTCAATTAGAAGCAAGGAAAAAGGAGGGAGAGAGAAAAAGGGGGGGGGGGGAGAGTCATACATTAACAAACAATGTTTTCCCATGGAAAAAGAGAAGAAAAGCAATGTCTTGATCATATCTTAATTAGTCCACTTGTCTGATGTAAACATTTCTTCTTCTTTTGTCATTCTTCAACTTTCTCCTCCTTTATTTGGAAGCCATCAAACATCTATTCTACAATTTGGGCAACAGCCTTGGCGTGGTAGCCATTCCTTTATGCAGTCCAAATGAAAGGAGTGTCTGCAATTTGGTAGTATACTTGCAAAATCTCCATTCTCGAAATCCTATAAATATGAGGCATAGATAGACACTTCATTATTAGTGGAAAAGAAAAAAGTTAGAGACCATTGATAATAATAAGTTTTCTTTTCACCCTCTATTATATGGTGAGAATTTGACTCAAACTTTCTAACTACAATAAAAAGAGTTTGTTTGACAATCAATGTGAGAATTTTGTCTGGAATAAGAAACGCAGTGGAAGAGTTTCTATCCCTATAAATAAGATTGAGTCAAGGTGGGTACGTTGAATTAAATCATGTTATATCTTTGTAATATGTTTTTATTATTTTTCTATCTTTAAATTTTCATCTTCCAACAAATATTATTTGTGTTAATTATTCGATGTGCAAAACTACCACATGTTACGGGACTCATGTCCCTCCATTTCAATTTTCTTCAATAATACAATAGTGATAGAAAATTCGCTATGCATAAGTGGTTTTTACTTTGAATTCGGTTAAATAATTTATCATTAAAAGAAACCGAGAGAAAATGTACTGCACATCATAATAAAATTACTCACTCGTAAGCAAATCGTACAAGATATCCCATGATCATGGCACGGTCCCATTGTCTCTGTGGAATAAATTTTGCACTTGGGTAGTTTCTTGATGGAATCCATGGATAAACCTTTTGTCCCGGTGACCTCAAAAATGTCTTGAATTTCCATAGAACTTGTTTCTGCAGCACTAATCTGAATTTCCGATGTTTATTCAGGCTCCAGATGACAGAGGAAATTAATCAACCATAACTAGTCTAGTCTAGCAATCAAAGTAGGTCAAAAAATTAAAAGTGGAGATGACTTACTTGCCATAGGTAAGCTTTTAGCACTGCAGGACTTACCCATTCCATGAAAATCTTCCCGTTTACAAGACTGTGTAAGAGGGCAACCTGCCAAAATTTATAACCCAAAATAAAAATACAAGCAGCAGAGAGTTTTAACACAATTTTCTTGCTTTACTTCCAACTTCGAGGAATGCCACGCAGCTATGACCGGTAGCTGGGCCGATAATCGTGTCGAGTTAAATAGTTTCGTATCGGGTGAAACTTGGTCGTGTTAAAAAAACCTATATTCATATTTTGTTTGTTTATATAAATGAGTTCAACTATTACAGTCTTACACAACTCATTTATTAGACGATTTATCCGACAGAACTCGTTAATAGAATCATATCGATTAAAATTTTTTGATTCCAAACAAAAAATCATCAACTTGTCACACATTACATATGTTTGATCTGTTTATTATAATAATAAATCAGGGCTGAGCAAAAAAATGTGTGCACAACAACGAATGCGAAAAAAATCACCATTTCTAATATGAGACAGAGGTTGAGAAACTTTTTTTTTTGTTTTTTGGGAATTTATAATGCTATTGTTAACAGGTTGAATGAGTTTATGAGTTAAACACGAAATCGATTCGTTTATTTTACGAGTCTGTTGAGTTAACTCATAACCACATAAATTCGTTAAAAATACACTCAAATTCGCTAAATCTGTATCGTGTTCGTGTCGTTTTTACGAGTTGTATCTAAAATTGTCAGACCTACCAATAACCACCCGTTCAAAATGAATATAAAATTATACACAATTTATATACAACACCGATCAAAATCCAATTAGACATGGGTCCTTGTTAAAGAAGACATCCTAAAAAAAGAAAGATGACCCTAAAAAAAGAAATATCACGAAGTGATACGAGCCGAAAGTGGTTAAGAGGGTTCATCTCATAAAAGAGTGTTGTGTTTTAATCATGAAAGTGACACATTGTTAGTGAGGCCAGTTTGTATCACCTTAGAAAATTGCTCTCCATTAATCATCAATTCCATCAGCTGAATGGCTGTGATGGCCCCAGCCACAAAACCTACTCCTGCCCCACGTACAAGCCCAGTTTCTGTAGTGTGCCCTTTGATTGCTCCCGTAATTGTTCCCACTGTCGCTCCTCCTAAGAAATTCAAAAGAATACAATCCGTTGTTTGATGAGACGGAGAGAGGGAGAGAGAAATTCAGAAAATTAGCAAATGATGATCATGCTTTCTAGAAAATTGAAAGACCCACCAGCTTTAAATCATTAATGTTACGGAGGATCTAGAGGATTTAATCCCACAACATAAAAAAAAAAATTTAATTTAGTCCTTAAAATATTCAATTCATATCATTTTAGTCCATATATAGACGGACCGACAAGTTTTTTTAAAAAATTGACCACATGTCATTTTTTTTAAACGGTATCACATGTCCAACACATGATGATTCTGTCAAAAAACTCGATAGTCTATTTATGTAAAAACTAAAATGATACTAATTGAATATTTTATGAATTAAATTGATATAATAATGACTAAATTGACAAAAAAATACGTACTTTAGAAACTAAAAATACTATTAACCCAAAATTATATATTCTAGCAACACTTTTCAAATATTTCTTATTTTGGAGTCGTTCATGATACGTTGGAAAAATCGAAATTGTTGATCAGAACCAAAATCTAAGTAGCACAATGAATTTTAAAACATAAAAAGCACACCTAAGCAAGAATGAAACTAGAAACACACAAGATAATAAGAGGCCAATAATCATACTAAGTTTTGTAGCAAGTTACATACCCAAGGCAAAAATGCATGTCAGAAGAGCAAAAGAGGCTTTCTGCATCAGTCTGAACAAAAACCCAGCTTCAAAACCACCCGTTTCTGCTCTAACCATCAAGGTGATAGCCTCCTTGGTTCTGAACAGCCCATTTTCTATGCTAGCGAGCCACCTGTTCATCATAGTATTACAGCTCCAAAAGAAACGTAAGATAATGTGTGTGTATGTGTGTCAAAACCTTGTCTTGTTTAGTGTTCTATAGAGAGAGTGAGAGAGAGAGAGAGAGAGAGAGAGAGAGAGAGAGAGAGAAACCACTAGAGCTTGCTCTGGTTGAAGTAAACAAGTGATCACAAGCATTTATAGGGTTGAGAAACAGATCAGAGGCATTTAAGGAGGGATGGAGCTCACAGCAACTCCTCCCACATGCTCATGCATACATTACTTACACAAACGGCAACATTGCTGCTCTCATATAGGGTTCATAAGAAGAAAAAAATTAATTAAAATATAAGTGATCTGATAGAGACCTATTTTTTTTGATAGATATGGTAAATTTCGTGCAAGATATATAATAATACTGTATTTGGATATTTACTGTACTACTAACATTGAATTAATTAGGATGATGCATTAAATCCCTCATTGCAGTGCTATTTCGAGTTAGAAGATGGTGTTACATACCTTTGAAGATTTGGAGCGAAATCCTCTCTATTATACTTTCACTCAATTTGATTTAATAATAGATCATCTACCACTAACACACGTGTGACCCATCATGTGTTAGATGGTCTCTTATTCATACATGGTAAATAATCTATTATTAAATAAAATTAAAAAAAAAATATAATAGAGAAAGTCTCAATTCAAAAGACTGGTAGGTGCGTCAAAGGTAACCACAATATCTATGTGTGGGTCCATATATTTATTAGCCATGATATTAAGTGGGATTGTGCAAGTTGCAATTCTACCAAAACGCCCACGGGATTGGTCACATGCACGGCTCCACGCAAATCTCTCTCAGTTGGAAATGACTGTTGATGAATAGTTTGGAATTCGCTAGACAAATTCTAGTTTAAATTTGTGATCTCGAACTCATTAAGCTCTGTGGTATAAATGAACCGAGTTTGACATTCAACCTGAGTTTGAATTCGAGTTCAAGTTAAAGTTCAATTTACTTGACAAAACGAGCCGAGTAGGCCAACGTCAAGATTGGATAAAAAGTTGATGAGTCAAGTTTAAAAAGTCATTTGAAAGTCGTCACAAGTTTGAACCCAACACAAAATATTTTTTTTATTTTACAAATAAGGGAAGCGAGTGTAAACAATGTGGTGGTCGACTCGATTCAATAATTTGGATAATTTATTTTCACCCTTAAATCTCCCTATCAGGTTGGCAAGAAAAACCATCAGAAAGCAAATACCTAACTACCCATTGCCAACAATTGGCCAGAAGGGCAGCTTTAGTTTATTAACTAGTTGCCTCAATTAACAAGGGTTGTTGAGAAGTGGCCAAAGAGTAATATTATCGAGATATAATTTATTGACCCTCGCACAAGTTCTGGGACTTTTGGATCAACGGGTGCGTTCATAACAATTAGTATCAGAGCAAATACCATGTCATGAATTTGAGTCACAAAAAGTGCGACTTATAAGTTGAATTAAAATGTTTTTGTATTTTGTATAACTATAGTGTTATCGCATTGAATACTAATAAATGAGTAGAACCGTTAAAAAGAAAAAACTATCGTTGAGTCATTGTCGATAGAATAGACCGCCGTGAAGTTTGAGGGTGATGGAATGTGGCGAAATATATCAAGATGAAACCACAAAAACCGGGTGCTGAGACAGCGGTTACAACCTCTGCTTCTGTGGGCTGAAGGCAGTGGGCATTGTGTTTTAATAATGAAGGTGGGTCTTCAAATAATTGTCTGAATCGGTCGTTCACGTTTACTATGCTATTTTCCCAACTAATCTAACTATTAAACAGAGATTTAGACGAAACATATTAGGTTTTCCCAGGTAGTTAAGGAATTGTTAACCTACAGACAACATCAAGTAATAAAAGAAACCAATGGAAAGCAACAAAACTATACCTTGGTGTTTTACTAAAGTACGACTACAATAGAATACTTTCTTTCTTTTTTTTCTTTTTTTTTAATGAGAATAGATTTTTTACGAACAATTTATAAACTAATTGTTTACGGGTAGGCAAAGTTTATGTAGCTGTCAAATTTTAATTGGCTGTCTTTAACCCGTACCTTAGATAAGTAGTTCAAATATAATTTATTTGAATTATAAATTTATTTTTTCAATAATAAGGAAGAAGATGCAAATTACTCACTATAGAAATAAATGCCAATATAATGCAATTATAAAGTATTATAGGCCTGGTGGTGGTTGGATGCATGTCGATTTTGGGTTTCGGGTTCATGCATTTTCATTCACTTGTAAAGTTGGCATTAGTGAGATATGTGGGTATAGACTTTTTGGCAATTGTGGACCCTATACTATTAGCCACAACATTGATAATTGACATGTTGCGAGTACGGAAGAAAACTCATTAATATCTTGCATCAAGTAATCAAAATGTTTATTAGATACAAGAACGTCCTAGAATTGTTTAGACTTCTTTTTTTTTTTTTTTTTAATTCAATGATTAGTAGTGTTTAGATTAATTTATGCTCACTTTAATTAATTCTCTCTCCGCTCCAGTTAAAAGTATGTCATCTATGTCAGAACTAAAATATGCATGAAGGATAAATTCATATTCAATTGATTGTCAAGATTCAAACTCAGGACGTCTGAATTTATAGTTTATATTTGTTTAGGAGCGGAGGCAAGAATTTTTATGAGGGGAGTAAAATATAACTAAAAAAATTCTTTAGTTGATACAAAATAAGTTCAAGAATGACAAAAAATTATCGTAAAATAGTAAAATCAATTTTTATTTAGTTGAAATAAAATTTGAACAAAAAAGATACAAAATAAATTTTTAGTGCATTTTAACCTAATTACACATTTCAATAAAATACAACGATCTTTAAATTTTTTAAAATTTTGTATATTAATTAATGTTAATTTTTACTAATTTTCTTTCAATAGACACAATCACAAGTTTGTAGTAAAATCATTCTTCATTTTTTTTCTAAATTTGGTTGAAATAATTATCAATCTTATAGATAAATTCTCTATTCAAAATAGCTTAAAATATTTTTGAGTGACGATATTTTGTCTTTTGTATACAATCATATTTTATTGAGTTAATAGACTACTATATACAAAAAAAAAAAGTATGGAACAACTAAAAATTATTCTTAAAAAATATTCCTCCCGTTCCTAAATATCTGTCGATTTATATATATTTTTTTGTTCTATAATATTTGTCGTTTAATGAAATCAAAGCATAATTAATATTTTTTTTTCAAATTTGCCCTTAACTTTTCAATGCATTACAATTGGTAGAGACTAAGTGGATTTCATATTTATTTTCTTCCCAATACGTATTGAATAAGGGTATTTTAGTCTTGTATAATTATTTTTTACTCATATTAGAGCTATTTAATAGTTTCCTTAATCTCTGTATAAAAACCTTAAACCACAGATATTTAGAAACGGAGAGAATAAAAAATATTGTGTTAAATAAAGAGAGATATTGTCTTTTGGTTAATATACAAATAGATCAGGATAGTTACATCTAATTTTCTCAATCCAAAAATAAAATAATTATTTTAGAAGGTTAGTAGTCTACTAATTTATTAAAAAAAGAAAAGACTACAACTATTATTGAAATTTTTAAAAATTTTATGGGTCCTCGTTAATAGTGGTCCAAAAGTGAGGGGGACAATTGCCCACCGTGGCCGCTGTTATGACTTGAGATACTCTGGAAGATATTTAGACTTACGAGGACTAGAATTGAAGAGCTCATTCTAAGATTTTCTAGAACTTCTTCGAAAGAAGGGAGTGACACATTGTTATTCAAAGCCTAAACGGCGAGGCACATTGTTATCAATAGACCAACCCGTTTAAAAGAAGTCCACAACGTAGGCCCATGGCCTAGCCCACCAACGGCCGACCAAATTAATTATTTTTAAAAAGTCACCATTTTCATTAAATAATTAACAGTTAAATTTGAAATTATTTTTAAAAAAAATTGATTTACATACAAAAATGCTATTCAAAAAATCTATAAATATACGCATAACTCAGAAATCTATCATTGTTCTGTATTAGAAAACTCTTAATTCTCTACAATACAATATTCTTTACTAATTTTGATTCATCGTCTAAAACCCTAATACCAATATACTACCATCTAGTTATTATATGAAATGAAAGAATAAAATAACTCGAATTATGATTTAATCTAATTTAAAGAACCAAGAAAAAGTTAAATGCACACAAAATGACTAACTTATCCGAGCATTGGTCTAGTGATAAGATAGCGTCCCCGTAAGTGTCAACATGATGATCACCTAAGTACAATGCATTGAAAATAAATCGTTGATTTGTTTATAGCGGTTTGATAGAATTGAGATCAAGCTAGGACTCTAATGGTTCTTAGAGAGCGCCCACCGTCTAGACCCCTCCTTCGGCTGTGGATCAAAACAGTCTTGAAAATGATATCATACTAAACTAAGTAAAATTTAGTACAATGCTAAAGGGTGAATTGTATGTATGCGACCAATTCTTCCTTTAAAGACTTACTATTAACGTGTGGTATATACTTTTTGGCCATTGCAGCCCCTATGCTATCAATGACAACATTGATAATAGACATGCAGAAAATAATTTACTAGTTGATACGAAAAATAAGTTCAAGAATGACAAAAAATTAATACTCAAGATAAAATTATTGTGAAATAGTATATTCAATTTTTATTTAGTCCAAATAAAATCCGAACAAAAACACAAAATATGTTTTTATTACATTTTAACTCAATTATATATTTCAATAAAATAAAACGTTTTCTACAATCTCTAAAATTTTGAATATTAATTAAATGTAAATTAGATTTTCACTAATTATCTATTGATGCGCACAATCATAAGTCCGTAGTAAAATTATTTTTCATTTAGTTGTAAAATTTATAGAGAAATTTCCTATTCGAAATAGTTTGAAATATTTTTGGGTTATAACTTTTTAGCTTTTGTATACAATCGTATTTTATTGAGTTATAGACTACTATTACTAAAAAAATGATAAATTAAAACTAAAAATTATTCTTAAAAAATATCGAACATTGTGTTAGATAAAAAGAAATATTATCTTTTGATTAATATACAAATAAATCAGGATAGTTACATCTGATTTACTCAATTCAAAAATAAAATATTTATTTTATAGGATTAGTGGACTACTATTTTATTGAGAAAAGAAAAAAAGACCAACACCATTATTGAAATTTTAAAAAATTTAAGAGGGCCAAATATAGTATATTAAATAATTTTATGAGTCCTCGTC